CTCAGAACGATTGCGGGACTTTGAGGAAGAAGAACTCTTTTCTACCAGGCAGTCTAGACTTCGTGGATTCAGCAGTCTCCGCGGCGCTGTTCTCGGAGGCAGTGGGGCAACCACCAAACTGAGGCAAACTGAAGCCCTAACCCTCACATATTGGTAGAGGGAGCAGAGACTCCGGTCCGGCTCCGTCTCGCTGTCATCAGAAGGTATGTACTTTCAGCTAGGTGGCATATGAGGTATAAAGGTATCCTGTTCGCCACTGCTTGCTTTTAAAAGCAGCGAAAATAGCAAGCTCGGCCGGCCTGTAGCTCTGATACACAAATGCGTCACATGTCTTTAAGGCTTAAAGCCCCCCAGTTACTCCTTATCTATTGTGCATTTTTCTTGTGTTACCCCCCACTTTCAATGAATAAGCAGTCTGTACAGGTGGTATTTTAAGACAATGCCCTCTGGCTGGGCAACGCCCTGGGTAGCTCGAACGATTGAGCACGGGCTGTGAACCAAAGGGTTGTATGTATGATTCCCAGTCAGGGCACATGCCTGGGTTGCAGGCCAGGTCCCTAGTAGGGGGGCGCAAGAGAGGCAATCCCACACTGATATTTCTCTCCCTTTCTTTCTCCTTCCCTTCTCTGTAAAAATTAATAAATTAAATTAAAAAGATAATGCCAATATCCATCCACCTCCTCATCAAAATTCTTCATATATTTCACATGTATTGGTGATTTTTGCCTGAACCAATCTTTGTATTAGATCAGGCTGCTAGAACAGAATATCATCGCAGACCTTTATTTCTCATATACCTCTGGAGGCTGGAAGTCTGAGGTCAGGCGCAAGCGTGGTCAGGTTCTGGTAAGAGCTCTTTTCTCTTTGTATCCTCACATGACAGAGAGAAAGAGAGGCCGAGAGAGGACTAGCTCTCTTCCTCTTCTAAGGACTCTAATCCCAACATGGGGGCTGCTGCACTCTCTTGACCCAATTACCTCCCGGCAGCATGCCACCAAATAGTATCACATTAGGGCATCCACATATGAATGGGGGGGGGGCATAAATATTCAGTCCATAGAAACTACTATAGTTGAAAAATGATGATTTTCCAACTCCAGCACTTCTTCAGATCCAAAGCCACTCTTCATTGCCTGCTCTGTGAAAATGGATATGGGCCCTTTAAATATTGTGCCTTTGCCAGTTGGCACAATGTGTCACTTTGACAGCAGAGGGCACTGGAGAGACATTGCCGGAGGAATTCCCATTTGCTCACTCAGTAGGCCTCCACAGCATGGGTAGCTTCCCCAAGGCCAGGCTCCTGGGATGTGAGCAGCCTGTCCACTGCCCAGCTTCTGCAGCACAGAGAGCTTCTCTCATGTAGCAACTTCAGGGGACGTGGCTGCTCCAGCACCAGGTTCCAGCAACGGCAGCAGCTTCTCCAAGGCCCAGCTCCTGCAAGACACAAGAGCCAACACCACCTAGCAGTTCCCAGCTTCCCCAGCCATTCTCTTTCATAGCAGTTTCACAGCCTAGGATACCTCCTGTGAAGAGCTGTCCTCCATCACCTCCCAGGATGGATCTCCAGCCCCCTCACTGATATGTCACAACAGTAACCTCTCTACTGTTCACCAAACCAGGGTCCTGTCTTCTATGGGAAAGCCTGGCTCTCAGCCCTAGAGGGACCTCTTCCTTAAGTCCTAACCCAGTATTGACTCAGCGCTGGGGACATGGCTGCTTCATAGTCATCCATCCTCTGTTCTTTGGAGTTCCCTTTCCCTTCCAGAAAATTGAAATATCAGACACCAAAACTACAGAAAGAGCTTTAAAGGAAAAAAACCCCCACTATCGACCAGTTCTTCATCGATGCAGATGTAAAAACTCGGAACAAAATTTTAGCAAATTGCATCCAACCGTGTGCTAAAAAGGACAAATATCATGATCGAGTCAGACTTATCCAAGGAATTCAAGATTGGTTTAATACTTGAAAACCCATCAGTGTAATTCATCATAATAACAAACTAAAAAAGGAAAAGCATATGATCATCTCACTGATGCAAAAAGGCATTGGCAAAATCTAAATCCATTCTTGAGTTAAAAAAAGAAATAACTCTCAGGAACTAGGAATAAAATGGAAATTCCTCAGCCTATTAAAGGGCATGTATAAAGACCTACAGCTAGCTTGTACAACATGAAACAACAAAAAAAGCCAATTAAAAAGTGGGCGAAGGGACTTAGATATTTCTCCAAAGAAGATATACAAAGGACCAAACAAGCACATGTAAAGATGCTCAACATCATTCGTCTCTAGGGCAATGCAAATCCACACCACGCTGAGGTACCACTGCATACTCAATACGATGGCTATAACAGTAATAATAACAATTCAAAAAATAGCAAATGAGGTTGTGGATATGGAGAAATTAGAAGCCTCATACATTGCTCATGGGAGGTAAAGTGATCCAGCCACGGTGGAAAACAGTTTTGGTGGTTCTTCCATAAATTAAATATTGAATGACTCTATGACCCATCAATTCTACTCCCAAAAGAATTGAAAGCAGGCATTCAAATGACAATTTGCACACGAATGTTTATAACAGCACTCTTCACAATCGTGAAAAGATAGCAACAACCCAAATGCCCATCAGCTCACGAATGGATAAACAAAATGTGGTCTAGGCACGCAATGGGCTATTACTCAGCCATAAAAAAGGGACAAAGGACTGACACATGTTGCAACATGGGTGAACATTGTACTGTAGACATCATAACCCTTTACCGAAGACCACCTAGGATTCTGTTTGGATAGAAGGTCCAGAACAGGCATAGCGGTAGAGACAAGAAATAGATGAGGGCTGAGCCTGGGGTTTGGCAAGAGATGGGGAGTGACCGCTAATGGTATGTGGTTCTTTCTGGGGTGATGAAGATGTTCTGAAATTGATTGTGCATATACTAAAAACCATCAAATTATACACTTTAAATAGGGGAAATATAGGGCACATGAATTCTGTCTCAATAAAGATGCGATACAAAACAGAAAAGTGCATGCATACACAAGCACCAAGAAGGCAACTTCTGCAGGTCTCAGATAGATGAGGCCTCACCTTAAGTTTAGGTGAAGCTAGATGTAGAGAGAAGAGTTAACTAAGGAGCTTGGAGCATTGTTATGGCCCAGTTTTACAGGCGAGAAACCAAGCTACGCAGAAACTTAGGGTTGCATAGCTAGCACAGGATGGAAGCCAGAGTCCGGCCCAGGAAGTGGAGAGCAGAGCTTGTGTCCTTGCTCTAAGAAAAAGGCAGGATGGAGAACATCCATAGCTAAGAATCTCAGTGAGATTGCTCCCTTCCTAGCGCCAGCTCCACAGTGCTCATCAGAAAGCACTCATCACTTGGGTGCCTACCATCTGTTTAATAGACATCACAAAGTCTTGGTTTCAGCAATTTCTAGAGTGAAATTCAGGACAAAGCAATCCCTTGAAAGATGTTCAGCATGCAGCTCTCCTTCAGAGAAGTGCTGTCTTGTCTGCCTACGTGAATACTCAGCTGAGAATGATGAAGCTGAAGACTCGGTGACATGGTGCCTGAATGTCAGTGCAACCTGTGCCGGCTCAGAAAAGACGCCCATATATAGGCTCTTGAATGTTCACGACTACCCGCAAATTTAATACATTTAACACTGCAGACTTCTATCTCACAAGACATATCCGTGCCTTAAGTATAGGGTTTTGTGGGTTGAGCCCTCAGTTTTATCTGATTATCCGAGGAATACAAGGACCAAAATCTTTCTGCATTTTTTACTATTTCCAACCCCCCCAACCCCCCCATATGAAATAATCCCATGTCAAAGGGTGTGAATATTTTTAAAGGCTCTTGAACCTCATTGCCAAATTGCTTTGCAAAAAGATTGAACCAATTCACACCCCCACCAGCAGTGGATGAAAATATATTTAAATGCAAATTCCAAACTGCAGAGAGGCTCCTTCTTGGATATTTCACTTACATTTCTTTAATGCTAAGCAAAAACTGACCCAAGGATGTTAAAAAAAGTCTGATATAAAAATGGAGCAGATAGTTAGGACAGCTCTTAGGTAGAAATAAGCTCTAGAAAGGCCCAAGCAGGACGATAAAAATTGTAAGGCATCCTCCCAAGAAGCACAATTCTGACGGGACCATTAACAATTTGGCTTCGATGGGGATAGCAGCTGCCAAGAACGTCGGGTGTGGTCAATGTACCAAATTCCAGTTTAGAAACAACAGAGTATTTTATTTGCTTATACTCCACCATACGTCACGGTCTAAAGACAGTTTAAGATACCTAAGGCAGGAGAAGTAGCATTGTGTCTGAGTAATCAACCTCACGAAAACGAACAAACCCACGCCCCTTGAACTACTGGCAGGTCTTATCTCTTCCTACACAGGATGGCTCGCCTCTGTAATCTGAGTTCAGTCTGCAGCCACAAGTGACCACCCCCCCTACTTCTAATAATGGACCACAGTGATTTTAGGGGGCATGAAGGTGGGGCAGGCAAGGGGAAGCCTAGACGGGGCTCTGCACAGGGCAAAAGGTGCCGGGACCTCCACCTTCAGCCGGGATCCCCCTCTGGCAGTTACCGGGGGAGCCGCCCGGTCCCCACCGGCGTGTCTTCCGAGACTTCCATGCCCCGCTCCCACCAGAAAAAGCTGACTCTGGAGGGGGAGCCAGAAACTCGATCGTGCCCCTTTCCACTTTCTCACTTTTGTTTTTCCTTTCCTGCCCCCTCTCCCTTCTTCCCTTGCCTTTCTTTGCGTCTTCCCTTCTTCCTCCTCCACGCCTCCTTCTCCTGCCTCTTCCCCTTGACCGACCCCGGCCCCCCTTTGCCTCCTCTTGGGTTGGGAGCTCCCCTCTTTTCCCCCTCCCCGCCTTTCTTCCTTCTCTGCTTCCTCTGCTCGCGGCCCCGCTCTCAGCCAATCGGCGCGCGGCGCCCCGCGGCCCCGCCCCCCGGTGGTTCCGGGCGGGCCGGACCGAGCCCAGGCCAGGGGTGCGGAGGGCGGCGCCGCGGGGCTGGGGGCGGATGGGGCGCCGCGGGCGGGCGGCGCGAGCGCGGGGATCGCCGGGACGCGGGCGTTCGGGGCTGTGACGGGGCCAGGCGGGCGCTGCGGCCCGCCCGGGATGGGCCAGCCCGGGCCCGGCGGGGCCGAGCCGGAGGGGCGAGCGGCGCGCGGGTCCGGCCTGCGGGGCGGGCGGCCCGGGGGCTGAGGTAGAAGTGGGCGCGGAGGAAGGGGCCGAGCCAAGGCGGTGGGTGGAGCGGCGAGGGGGGCGGAGGCTGGGCCGCGGCGGGCGAGCGGAGCGGAGCGGCGCGCCTGTCCGGAGCTCGGCGGCGGCGGCGGCGCCGGAGGAGGCTGAGCGAGCGGCGGCGGGCCCGGACGAGAGCCGGAGGTGGCGGACGCGGCGCCGGGGGCCCCCATGGGCGGGTGTGTGGGCGCCCAGCACGACTCCTCGGGCAGCCTCAACGAGAACTCGGAGGGCACCGGAGGTAGGTGAGCGCCAGGGGGCAGCCTCGGCCCCCCCATTGTTCCCGGCCAGGCCCGGCCACCTGTCCCGGCCCCCGCGGGCCCGCGGGGAGCGCGGCCGGGGCCCCCGCGCCCCTTTGTCATCCCCTCCTCCACGTCACGCCCCGCGCCCCGTTTCCGGCCGCCCCGCAGGCCGTGGGGTCGCCCCCATCTCTCCCCGGCGCCCGAGGAAAAGTCCTCCGTGCGCAGGGGATGCAGCCCCTCGGCCTGGCGACCGCAGCCCCTCGGCCCGGGAAACTCGGGCGAGAAACTGCCTCTCTGGCCACCTCCCTCCCTTCCCAGCCCGTTTAATTATTCAGGAGCAGGATGGCGGCGCTGGGGCTGCAGAAAAGCGAACCGATGGGGGGTTGGGGAGGGGAGCCGAATGCATTCCCTCCGGTGGGCCCCGCCACATCTCTCCGCACCCTTCCTTGTTCCGCGGAGTTGGCTGGGCTCAGCTTTCCCGAGTTTCAGATGACAGCTGCCCTGGTTGGTTCCAGTTTGGCCATTTAAACCTGCAAGTTTTGGAGCTCGGTCGGGGAAGTCTCCAGTGGCCACAGGCATTATTTTCACGAGGGGTGGGGAGTCGGGCTGCCCGAGTAAAACGTGGCTTCCCGCTGCAGCACGGGGGTGTCGGGCCCGCTGGCCTTCGGGGTGGGCTAGTCACATTCCTCTCGGTCTTACGTAAAGGAAAATGTGTAGGATAAAAGTTCAAATACAACGGGAGAGCCCGACTTCCCGGCAGGATCGGTACCTTAAAAGTTTCCGAACAACGGAGCGCACTTCTGGATCGTACTGGAGATAGTTTGCCGAGGAAAGGTATTTTAATTCAGTCGGTTTTGGAGGACAGCAGTGTAACGAAAAACGTAATCCGGCCTTTCCTTAAACGACCTTTTACCGAGTTCATCCTGTAGCTGGTGTGCGGGTCAGAATGTTGCAGTTCAGGCAGCAGCAGCTTCTGGGAACAGCGAGGGTGACGTGCGGGATGGGTTGTGTTGCAAACTTACTTGGGATGTCTCAAGCCGCGGGGCTTATTTACAAATTCCTGAACTAAATTGTTTGGAGATGAAAGAGTTCACAACTTTTTCTTACGCTAAAAGTTGTTGCTTGCCCTGTCACTCCAGCTCCGTCTTGTAGCTCCTCACTTTTGGTGGCTGGACTTCCTGAGTTCCATGAGGGTTAGCCTGGCCACTTCATTAAAATCTGTGGGTGTCTCGTGTGACTAAATCCCGGGCACGTAGCTGGAAGCTCCGTGAAATGTTTCTTGAAAAAAACCGTCCATGAAAACCGCTACTTGATAGTGCTCGTCAAGTCATAGCATCCTGCCTTAGTGGCGTATTAACAGTGAGATCCTCAGTGACAACAAAGCAGGAAGATAAAAAGAGCATGATTTATTTATTTTTAAAGACATTTTACTTATTTATTTTCAGAGAGAGGGGACTGGAGGGAGAAATGGAGAGAAACACCAAGACGCTGGTCAGGGCTAAAAAGGGTGTGATTTCAAACAGCCTTGGGTTAAGGTCAAATTGGGGGTCACAGTGATTCTTCCTGCTGTGGAGGCGATCATTAAGGGTACCCTAGTATATTAGTGCTTGTGTTTAGTTTACGTTGTTTCACACGTAAGTTAAAATTCTCATACACATGTTTTCTTCTTGGTAATGAACTTGAGCCAACTTATTTAAGCCTTTTGGTAGTGTGGCTTAGGACCAGCCGGGCATTTTAGTGTGGGCTTTTAAAAGCGTGAAGTCTTCACTTTTGGTAATTTATTACCAGTGACATCTAGTCAGATACCTGTAGTATCAGTTTCTTTGAGAACTGCGTCCTCTGGACCTTAACGCTATGCTATACCTTTCCAAGTTAAAGTTTAGAAAAAAGGAATATCAACTCCTTTATTTTCTTCTGGAGAGAAGGCATGGCCCTGATGTCACTGTGTGGGATGAAAGGGTTGTTTCTGAAGTGTAATTATGGAAGCCTTTATCCTCCATTACTGTCATGATCGTGAAGAGTTCATTGTGGTTTAAAGGAATCAGCTCAGGTGAGTGTTTCAGGCTAACACGCTACATAGTTCTTGCTTATTACAACAGGGTTCTGCTGGGCAGGCAGACTGTTTTTGCTGAGGGCGTTACCGCAGGTCCTTTACCTTTCAGACATACAGCCGTGGTTAGTAGTTGTGATCTGGACATTGGGTTCTGAACATTTACCAGCGTGGAGTAAAGTACAGTCTTCTCTATTTTCATGACATATTTAAGATTTTCATGACATGTAATTTCATTCACATGATGTGTCATGCCAACATCACCACGGAACGGCAAATACGTGTATGTGTATTGAGGAAAACTTCCTTACTAGGTGGATTACTTGTTTGAAGGAATTTGGGAAATCTTTGCAAAAGGCTGCAGATGCGGAAATGACTTAATTCACATAAGGTTCGTGTTATCTGGGATCATCCGTCGTGTCTTCCTCTGGCATACCTCGCCTAGAATTCAGTTTCTGGGTTCAGCTACTTGGACTATCCTTTAATGCCTAATTTTAATCAAGACAAGTATATTACAGTAGATTACCTAACAGTTCTCTCGCAGCCTTCATGCTTCTAGCATTTTCTGTTTTGACAGTTCTAGATAGCACAGGTCTGTCCGGTTCTTTCCCGTACTGGGGTGGCGTTGCGGTGCTGGGGGTGTCCCCTCCAGACGAGGTTTTAGCCCGGGGCATTTGCTGAGGAATTACATCCCTCAGGATTCTTTAAAATAAGAAATATGTGGAGAAAAAGAATAAACTGAAATTAATTGAAGACAGCCAGCTAGCTTCTTATTTTGTTTTCTTTACAGACCACAGTGATGTGCAAAGGTTTTCGCTTTCTGGGCGGGCGCTGATGTCCACACGTTGTGTTTTCTAGGAGGACTGACCCTGGTGGTCGCCGTTTCCAGGTTTACGGTTTACGGGAGGATAGCTTGGAATACTGGTGACTCATTTCTTAATTTCAGAATGTCTTTTTTAAAAAATTATTTTTATTTCAGAATGTCTTGAGAATACCATGAAGTTCTTTTGACTATCCATTTATAAGCAGCCTTGCAGACACCTACTTGATGAGTAACAGTGGTTTTTTTTGAATAATAATAGCTACCATTAATCCAGTATTTATTGTGTAACAGGTACTGGGCTAAGTGATTACCTTTTCTCATTCAGTCTTCAGAAGTTCTGGGAGGTGGATAATGTCTCTGTTTTACAGATGGTGGAAGCCAGGAGAGATTAAATAACTTTTTTAGTAAGGTGTTATTGGATAAATGGCAGAACTTGAACTCAGGGCTGTGATAAAGAATGCTAGTTTCTGCCCGGGCTGGTGTGGCTCAGTGGATTGAGTGCCTGCTTGTGAACTGAAAGGTTGCTGGTTCGAGTCCCGGTCAGGGCACATGCCTGGGTTGCCAGCCAGGTCCCCAGTAGGGGCATGTGAAAGACCACCATTTGCTGTCTCTCTCTCTTTCTCCCTCCCGTCCCCTCTCTCTAAAAATAAAACAAATAACATCTTTAAAAAAGAAAAAATGCTAATTTTCCCCCCAGTTTCATTTTTTTAAAAAAATTGTAGTAAAATACAAAATTTGCTATATTTGACCTTTATCAGAAATATGATTTGCAGATATTTTCTCCCATTTTGTAGGGTTTTTTTTTCCACTTTCTTGATGGTGTCTCGATGCACAAGTTTTTAATTTTAATGAAGTCCAATTTAGTTTTCCTTTTGTTACCTTGTGCTTCTGGCTTCAATTTTAAATACATATGTATATATTTAATTCTTCTCTGATGGAGAAAGAGCAAATCTATAACCAGTTATTCACAACTCTTAAGTACCATTTGCCATCCTAACTGTGAATAAAAAGTTGTTTTAAGTTTATTTCCTCTGTCTGATCTGGTAAAAAGGTTGATTAGCAGTGAAATGGGATTTAAAATGTTGACAGAAGTAACTTATAAACCCACTTCAACTTCTTCTTAATCAAGAGATGATTGTTGTATTTTCTGGGGAAGCGTTTTACAATCAACAAGCATTGAATACCCACAGTATGCCTAGTGAATTGGCTGCTGTTGTTCCAAAAAAAGAAATCATGGTCCTATTTCTTCTGTCAAAATTGATTTTAAGGAAGGCATAATAGAATATGTACACATAAAACAACTATAAAACACTGTATAGACGTATAAAAACACCACGGGATAAACTGTGGAAGTGCTGAAGGTAAAGAAGAAAACAGCAGGATCTCAGTTCTCAAAGGTGTGAGGTGTGGTCCGTCACCCAAGCGGCAGCATTAGCAGCACCACCTGGGAGCGTGTTAGAAATGCAGAGTGTCAGGCCCCAGTCCTGGCCTACCATGTCGGAATCTGCATTTTAACAAGATTCTCAGATGATTCTCATACACATTCAAGTTTGAGAAGCACTATTACAGGATTGCTTACGGTGGGAAGAGATCAGAGCTGGGAACCCATTAAGGGGAAAAGTGGCATCAGTTGGTTTATTGAATGTAGAAATACAGAGAGAAAAGAAAAAATAATCCCACATTTTTGAACCCGGATGACCAGAAATATGGAGGAGGCTTGGCCGGTCTCGGGGAATAAGAAAGAGCAATCTGGGGAAGTCGTAGTTCAATGTTCAGTATGTTAAGGATTGGCTGACAGAAGCACTTTTAAGTGGCAGTGTTATTTAGGATGGTGCAGGGGTTCAGATCGGGTAGAACTCGGAGATGTTCGATTTTGGGGTCGCCTGCGGGAGGCCGACCGAAGGTACAGAAGTGAATGACTGCTAGAAATAAGGGAAAAAGAAGGAAAGTACCAAGAATTTAGTCATGACAGTTTCATAACAGGTGGAGAAATGAGAACTCACTTCTCTGGGCCTCACTGTACAGTAGGTGCTGAGTGTACTGAATTTTGTTGGATTATTGGGAAACATAGGAAAATAGGTCTGACTGTGAAATTGATAGATCTGATTGTATTTGAAAAACTCTTC